AGGGAGGGAGGGAGGGAGGAGGAGGAGGAGGAGGAGGAGGAACGCCAGGCGGCGGGGTTGGGGTGGTCTGGTAGGTAGTCAAGGCCCAGCGCAGGGGTTTCCAGGAGCAGGCGAGCGGCGGAAGAGAACCCAGACCCCCTCGCGATGCGCAGAAACAGTCACGGCGGGAGGCGTGTCGCTGTGCTTTCTGCCTTGGGGTGGGGTGGGGGCCTCGCTGGGTCTCGGGGCCGTCAACAAAACGACTCCGGGCTTCCCAGACCTCCTCGAGTCTGAAAGCATCACGACGGGAGGTTTATCTCCATGTTCGGTCTCTGAGGGCCCTTGCTTGGCCTCGCGACCGTACAAAAACGATTCAGGGTGAAATACCGGTCCTGGGGAATGGGTCTGGACCTCTGGGGGGCGCGTCATGAAACAAAACATGACGTCGGGGGGTCTGTCAGGGGCGGCCAAGAGGGGGATGTTGACTAGGGGGGAGGGATCTCATGGAGTGGGCCATGATGTCTCCGTAGATGCTATGGCGCCTCCTCTTGTTTCATTACGTCCCTGCCCCCCCCCTGGACCGCGCACATGCCGCACATGCCATGATTTGCGCTCCCCTCTTGGACGCCCCCCTCCTCTCGGCGCCCCCGATATGGGGGGCTCGTCATGAAACAAAGAAAAAATGCCGCCGGCCATGATTTGCGACCCCCCCTCTTGGATCGAAGGTGGATATACCTCCTACCCTGACGCGTCGTTTAGGGAATTGGCCGTTTTCGGTTCGCGAGGGGGCGTCGCGGCCGTCATTTTTGCGGGTCCAGGCCCGTCGGTTTCGGTCCCAGGCCGTTTTCACTAAGGAGAGGTTCACTAAAGGGAGGTTTGTCTACCGCCGATTGGACGCCCCCCTCTTGGCCGCCCCCTTGGGGGGGCGCCACGAAGCAAACCTCATGGCGTCGGGGGTTCCAGGAGCGGGGCCGATGGCGCGGGCCCTCGCGTTCGCGGGCTGCCAGCGCGCAGTCAAGGGCGCTCGCGGGAGCGCCCCCTCCTCCATCGCGAGAGGTCGCTGTGTCACCTCGCTCCACAGGAGGCAAATTCAAAGATAGTCGAACAATACATGGGGATTTTCTTTTTAGGGGGGGTATTTTTGTGTCCTATATTTGCAATTTGTTTGACTCTGTTTGACCCTCCCTGGAAAATCCGCCTGTAGGAGGACACGCCCGACCTAACGCAAGACCCTTTTTTAGACAGATTTTTTGCGCCGCCGAGGCTCGGCGACTATACACAGGGTATGGTTACGCCAGGGTGTGGCTTGCGATCGGGACGGTTGTGGCCTGGGGAGCATGGCACTGTCACATCGTCGGGCCTCCTCGGGGCGGTGCGCGGCGGATGGCTCCGTCGTCCTCGCCCGACCCCCCCAGGGTGCCCCCGGGATGCCCGCTGCAAACCACACCCTCGGCAAGCCTGAAATTGGGCCTGTCTCTCTAGAGGAGGGATATTCGAAAATAGTAAAAAATAATATGGGGACGATGGTTTAACAAGTTTTGGACATATGTTTGGTATGTTTTATTCGGCGGCAAAGAGGGGGGTGATGACTAGGGGGGTGGATAGCATGGCGTGGGCCATGTTATCTCCCCAGATATCGTGGCGCCTCGTCTTATTTCATTACGTCCCTGTCCCCCCCCAGGCCGCGCAAGTGCCGCCGACCAGGATTCTTCAGGCTTACGCCACATCCGCCGACCCCTTAAATGCGCTCGAGCAAGACATGTCTGACGCTGTTGAAAGAGCAGGCGGAAATGTCGGGTGCACAGAAGAAGCACAATTCATCGGGGGAGAGGCTCTGTCGGAAATGCGCGGAGGGGCGAGAGAACGAGGTGCGACGTGACGTGCGCGGCGTGCGGAGGAGCGCTTTCGGACACGAAACATTTGCAGCAGCAACAGGTGGGGAATCATCAGAAGGCGACAGGAGCGGCGCGTGCAAGAGAAGACTACCGAAATCGGAGAGGTCGTTTGGCGTCTCGGAGCTCTCGTGGGCCGTCTTGGAGGCTTCTTGGGGCCTTCTTGGCCCGTGTTTAGGCCCTCTTGACCCCGGAAAAGTCCCGTGATGCGCTCGTGCCGGGCCCGGGGGGGGGGGGGAATCTCCGGTTTGAGGTCCCGGAAGTAGTTTCGAAGTTCACTGATAGCCGTTTTGGGACCTCTTGGGGCCTCTTTTGGGCCCGTCGGACGTTTTTGGGAGGTCTTTTGGGGGTCTCTTGGGACCTTTTGGGCGGCTCGTGGGGTGTCCCAGGGCCAGGTGGGAGCGGAGGGCTCGGATTTTCGGCCTCTTAGACTGGCTGGAACTGCGTGCAGGCAGAAAGAAGTCGTCGATGCTAGAAATGTACGTTTCCCATAGGAAAAACCATGATTTTCGCTGCTTTGGACCTTCTTGGAGCGGCACTTCGGGGCCTCTTGGAGCGTCTTTGGAGGCATCGTGGGCTGTCTTGAGCCCATATTGGGGAATCTTGGAGCCACCGAAGGCCACGTGGAGGTCCTCCTGAACCGTCGTGGTGCGTCCCGGGGCCATTTCGAGGCCACCGGAGGAGTCCCTGCAGGATTTTCGGGAACGGATGACCCCCCCGGGGGAATCGGGGGAACGGGGGGAACCGGGGAATTTGAACAGACCCCCCCCCCTCCAAATCGACCAGGCTGGGCTCCCGGGGGAGGGGTTTGGGGAGGGGGAAGATCTCACACGCCGATGAACCCCAAGGGGTCGGCGGATTTACGCCCCCCTCCCCCCCCCTGTTTTCGGCCTCCAGGGGCCCTTCAGGGCCCCCGGGACCGTCCAACAAATATGATTCACGGTGCAAGGTCAGCCCCCCGGAAGGGGTCTGGACTTCTGCGGCGAGGAGACCCCCGCATCAAAAAAAAACTCAGACCTCGCACGTCGGGGGGGCTCTCCTCGAGGCGCGCCTGGAGGGCCCCGACTCCAACGACTGCGCTGGCAAGTCCGAGGGCGCCGCGCCCCCGCAGGTGCTGGGGCGCTGTGCAGACGCCGACCTGGCCAGCCCGGACGGGGCGCCTCGGGCCGACGAGTTGGCCTCGGGGGAGATCACTTCCAGGATTGAGTTGGGCCTGCCTTTTTTACGAGGGGCATGTTCCAAAGTAGTCAAAAGATGGTACGGGGGCTATTTTTTGACTATTTTGGAGCATTTTGGGTTTTTTTTTTTTTTTATCTTCGTTTTTCCCCCCAAATCCCCCCTGTAGGGGGACAGGCCCGACCGAATGCCAGGATGCTGGACAACGGGGAGATGTACCAGTGGTCCGAGTCCGCGTGGGATGCCGGGCTGCTGCTGTGCCACCCGTGCCTGGGGCGCGGGGTTTCCCTGGCGCTCGGCCTCGCCCTCGTCCTGAACGTCTTCGTCCAGCTCGGGTTCTGCCTCATCGTCTGGAAGTACATGCTGCAAGAGCCGTGGGACGACGAGTTCCTCGACCGGCTGCTCGCGTTCCGGCTCTCTGCCCACCACGTCAACAATGCCGATATCGTGGGGCAGCGCTCACTCGTACGGCAGGTTTGCGAGAGCGACCCCTCCTTGCTTACTGCGGCGATTCACTCGTCCTTCATAAAAAACTGGGGGGAGTTCGACGACGAGAACGGAGGCATAGCTTTGATGATCCTCGCCATGTTCCTGTGGCTGACCAACATTGCTTGGCAGCTTAGGGACGTATACGACCAGCTGGACGCCCTCTTTTCAATGCCCCGCGGCCCGCGCACCATTGTGGTGCTGGTTGGCGATGCTGAGGGGGGCACGGGCAGCGTTTCTACTCGCACGGACCCGGCATACCTTGACAGTCTTTCAGTGACGGCTCGTCTCGTAGAGATCAGCGAGCTTCGCGTGTACTGTACCTTTGTCGGAGTCGCCCTCCCTCGCCTGATAGTCGCGGTCTTGCTTGGGATCAGTGGGATTCGGTATCTGGGCATGACCGACGGAATGGAGGATTTGATCCTGAACGCGATGGCCCTGATGTTTATCCTCGACATCGACGAGGAATTCTTCAAAGCCTTCCTCCCGCGGCGCGTTCAGACGCTGGTCCGAAATCTGGAGCCCCTCCCGCTCAATGAGGGAAGGCGCGCACGAAGCATGCCCAATGTGTTCCCCCTGATGGTGATGATCGCGACGTTGGCTTGCGTGGGAGCCTCAGGCTTCCTGATCGTGATGCCATTCAAGATGAAGCTGGACCAGGTCAGGAACATCCTCTGCTCTGGTCAGCACGACTTCGTCTTCTCCCACAACCTCGCGTCCGGCGTCGTCCACGTGGCGCAGTCTTTCCATGATGCTGAACTCACCGAAGTGGAACGACTTGTCCTCCAAGTCGCCCAGCCTACTCTTTTGGAGGGTAGAGGCTGGAACGTGGACCCTGAGCTGGTTGCTTTGTCGCGGGCCAAGCAGGCACAGGTTGCGTTCGAACCGAATGTGTCTAGTCTGAGCGCTGCAGACTTCAACGAAGATTCCTTCCTCAAAGTGGCCAACATCGGTGCGTCCACAGTGGAGGAGGCAGCACATCACTTCACCTGCTCAGACTTCGGAACAGGCCTAAACTTCGAGATGTCGCGAGACGTGTTGAGACAGATTACCGGGAATAGCACTCTAAACACTTGCAGTGACCTCTCGGACTTGTGGTTGTGCGGCAAGATGGCTTCGACACAGCTCAGGGCCTTGTGCCCTCAAACATGCGGATGTTGGGAAGGGGACTTGAGCTGGGCAGGCGCATTCAGCACGACTGCATTTGGCTGCGCGGGTGAATGCCTCAAGCATAAGTCACAGACGTGGGAAAGAATGGTCGGGAGCAGGTTCCCTTGCGCAGACACTGGGCCAGAAAATTTCAGCTCAGTGACAGATTATTTGCCCCAGAACTATTCAGGTGCCTGCGGCAAATCCGCCACCGTGTTAGTGGAGCACTCTGGTAGCAGAAGACAAATTGCACAATGTAAGGTCCGCGCGGATGTCTTGCATCGGCGCAGGGCACCCCTCCCCGGCGCGCGGAGCGCACCAGGGGCGTCCCAATCCAAGCGTTGATCGAAGAAATCCGCGCGGACATTGGAAACTTCAGGCTTATCAGAGACGCCTACGGAAAACCACCGCCACCCCCTGTTTTTCGCAACTGCCTATGTGGCCGAACGTTGCGGCCAGAGCTCGACCAAGTTGTCGGACTACGACTGCGTGTTGTTCCCCCCGCCGTTCTGGAAACACTTCGTGGAACACGTGGGGAGAGGAAGAGGAGGCGGAGGCCTCTTGGGAGCTTCTTGGGGCACTCATTGGCCTCCTGGGGGCCTCTTGGGGGCCGGCTTCACTGGGCCTCTTGGTGGCGGAAGCCGGGCCTCTCTGGGCCGACTTAGGGCCATCTTGGAGACCAACTTGGGCGTCTTGAAGGTCTCATGGGCCGTCTTAAGGTCCTCTTGGGGTCGTCTTAGGGGCCTCTAGTCAAGCAGTGGCGAAGCGTCCTGGCTCGCCTACTACCAAACAATGTTCTAAGAACCTTTTAGGGTTTCCACGGAATGTTCTTAGAACATTTCTGGTTGATATTGTCTTGTTTTAACTCATCGGGTTTATGTTCTAAGAACATTGTTCTGTTCTTAGAACATTTTTGGGTTCTAAGAACATTTGGTGTTAGGACTATAGGAATGCCGGGACGGTCGGTCCCTGCTCAATCTTGGGCCGTCAGGGGGGCATCTAGGAGGCCTTTTGGGCTGTTGGGGCCGTCAAGGCCGTCTGAGCGCCGAAAGTGAGCAAGCACCCAAATCTGCCAAGCACTTATGGAAAATCACCGAGGTTGGTCTCTTCGAGTCTTTCTCTGGAAGACCTCTTAAAGGCTTATTGGAGGGCTCCTGGGCTGTCTTCAGCCGTCTTGAAGGCATCTTAGCCGTCTTGGCTGCATCTTGGCCCGCGCCCAACACTGCTCACCCCTCGCACGCTTCGTGGCCCCATAAGGAGCTCCAACAAAGGCCCCAGTGGCCTGGCCCGCATGCGTTCCCACGCCTATCTTTGGCACGCTCCTCACACGCGTCGTGGCCCCATAGGGGGCTCCACCAAAGGCCCCAGTGGCCTGGCCCGCATGCGCTCCCATGCCTGTTCTGGCACACCCCTCACACGCTTCGCGGCCCCGTAGAGATGCCGCATTTTGGCACACCAGTCACACGCTTCGTGGCCCCATTGGGAGTTCCACCGAAGGCCCAAGTGGCTGCGGTTGCACGGCGGCTGCGCCGCACTTGGGCACACCTTCATGCACTTCGTGGCCCACTGGGAGCTCCACCGAAGGCCCCAAGATCGCAGTCTCATGGCAGCCCCGCCCCATGCCGGTACACTTATCCCACGCCTCGTGGCCACAAAGGGAACTCCACCGAGGGCGGTATTGACAACTGCGTGATCTACAAGTGCAGATGATTGGGCTCCTCGCCCGGACAATTTGTTTCGTCTTCCCGTGTGACGACTCTTTGGGCATTGCTTGGAGGGGCTGTCACACGCGACGCTTTTCGCCCCCAAACGTTCAGGAGCTCTCTCACGGGGATTCTTGGGACCGTCTTAGAGCCATATTTAGGTTCTCGTGTTGAGCATCGGGGGTCCTTGGGGCCATCTCTAGGGAAACAAGCAATGAGATAAACATAAAAACTCGGAGGGCCGCTCGGATTTCCCGGATCGGCGCTGGAGCCCGCTGATGGTGCTTCCCGCGCCGCCCCTAACGCGCTCCGCGCGCCCGGGAAGGGGGTTCAGCGCCGATCCGAGGAATCCGCGCAGACCTCCGAGCTCTCATGTTTATGACGTTTTTTGTTTCACTAATCTTGGGCCGTCTTTGGCCCTCATAGTTGATGGCTCCCCTTTGCCGACTGCAGGTCTCCTGGTGCCCTTCTTGCGACCTTCTTTTGGGCCGTCTGGGCCAGCCAAGGACTCTCATGGGGCCGTCATGGGTCATCGAGGGGTGGATTTATCGAATTTAGTGTTGTTGGGTTTCATTATTTCTTGGCCAAATAATGAAAAATAGCAGTTCCTTCGAAAAATAATCCAAATGGGCTCCCTCTTGAGGCTCTCCTTTGGCCCGCTGGGCCCCCGAAGGCCGCCCTGCGAGCCGATTTGCGACCGAAGAGCGTGGCAAGCGAGCAAAGCGCTGAAGCATCTACGGGGAGCAATGTGTTTTTGGCCTCTCTCCTCCTCCGAGGGTCTCCTGGACCGCGTTTCAGGGGGGGGGCCTCGGGACGTGTTGGAGACCTGTTGGGCGCGTCTTCTGGTCGCCTGGATGCGTGGTAGGGCAGTGTTGGGAGACTTTGGCGGCCTTCCTGGGCCGCAGCTTTGTAGGGTCCTGAGGAAGTATCGGGCCGCCAAGTCTCGGGATGGGGGTTAGGGGGAGTGGGGGGGGTCGGGCGTGTGGGGGGCGGGTGGGAATGCACGCGAGTAGGCGTGGTGCGTCGGGTGGGGGCCCTGTAGAAGATGAGCAGAGCCCCTGGCTGACAGCACTTGGCTTGTGGAGGGCGATGAATGGAGAGGAAGCATATTGCCAAATAGTTGCCAGGTGTCTAGGTATCTAAAACATGTTGAAAACTTGGTTTCAAACGTGTAAGCAGCATGTTTCAGACAATTGTAGACCATGCTCCAAGCATGTGAATCACATGTGTCATTCAACTCTAGGATTGTTAGGGTGTCCATTGTCATGGCCTCCACAACACTTGGCATTCTATCACGCCTGAACGTGCCAGGGGGGCACGCTGCCGTACCAAATGTGGAGAAAGACCGCTCCTCATTTCACCCCCCCCTTTCGGGATTTCTACATCAAGTACGTCCAAGGCCTCCAGGAGTACGTCACGGGCGTCGCTGAGGTTCGAGCGGGCGTGCCAGGCACTGTGATGATGCTCGGCAGCTTCTTCCTGACCCACTTCTCGCAGCAAGAGGTCGACGGCCTGATCGCCCACGTGCTTGACGGAGCTTTTTTCGAGGATCTCGCGGCGGGCAATTGGAACCTCCTCCCGGGTCAGCCGCACCCCCGCGGCCTCACAGGGTGCGACTACCTGACGTCGGTCGAGGTAAGCCTCACGGTCAACGTAGACCTCTGCGCGGAGGGCTCCGGGCAGCCCTTGGTCTCGATCCGCCCGTGGTGCCCCGTGGCGTGCGGCTGCGTGACAGGCATGCAGGCGTGCCCGTGCGGGTAGGCACCCCGTCCTCCTCTTCATCCTGCCCTCCATCCCTCCCAGTTGGAGCTACGCATATGCCTACCAATGGCCGTCGCACAGTGTGCGCCTAGGCCTACTATGGGCCTATGCATATGGGCCTATGTATAAGCTTTGCGTAGGCCTGTGGGATGCCGAAGACCCATGCGTAGCCCCGACATGGGCCCATGCATGGCCTGTGCATTCGGCTCGCGCAAAGCGTAGCATACACATGTCCATACCATAAGCCTATGTGCAGCCTGTGCATAGGCCTACGCGTATCCAGTGCATGTGCCTATGGGAGGCCACGTGCCTACCAAAGGCCTACAGTAGGCCGACCACGTGCCTATGCTTATTCGGTGGCCGCAGGCCAACTGTTTACATGTCGAACGATAGGCTTACCGTAGGCCTGCGCATAGGCTATGCAGAGGCTGTGCATAGGCCTATAGCGGCCCAGCGTGTAGATTATGCATAGGACCACAGGCATAGGCATAGCCAGTGAAAACAGCCTGCCAAAGGCTGCAGGTTTACCATAGGAGCCTTAGTGTAGGCCTACCGTAGGGCCATGGCTGGTCTATGCAAGGCCTACCGTAGGCATCCAGAGGTCTTCGCATACATAGTCTTAATATCACAATAAACCGAAGTATAGCCATGATTGAATGTTAATTCTACTGCTGGCCCGCATTCTAGTTTTAACAATAGTAGTTCCGCATACCAGCAGCTGCAATGTAAGCTTCGTGTTAGCCTGACAGGACTAATATAGGCCTATGGATAGCACACGCGTGTAACCACCCTGGACCTATGCGCAGCCAGCGCGTAGGTTTCCATAGGCCTAGGCATGCGTCCGCGGGCCTACCACCAGCGTGCTGTAGGCTTACCGCGGGCCTGTGAGTGGCCTGTGCGTAGGCCGATGAGCGGCCGCAGGCCTACGGTAGACATACCACCGCCCTATGCGTGAGCTACGCAACGGTCTACCACCCGCCTAGTGTAGGCTCTCCAGAAGCCTATGGCTGGCATGTGGTACGCTTGTCGCAGACATATGCCTGTGTATCTATATATATATATATTGTCGATACAACTCGAATTCGAAGTGTGCATACCGTGTTACATTCACTGGAACTTAAACATGCAGTTCATTTTCAGTGTTGTCTCTCGTCTGGTGAACATCTGAAACTAGCTCGAACCTGATCGGCCTGTCATAGGTCTACGCGTGGCCTGCGAGTATATCGACCATAGTGATTTTGCCCAGGCATTTATGTGGGCATACCCATAGCCGATGCATACGCCTGTGGGCGACCGCGGGCCGACCGCAGGCCTACTGTAGGCCTACTCTTTACCCATGCTTGTTCGCATCCGTATCGGATTTCCATCGGCCTATGCACCAGCTGCTTTTAGGTCTACGGCCGGAAGCCGCTTAGGGGATGCCTGGACCGACGGGTGGCCGCAGGCTTACTGTTTACATACCGCAGGATAGGCCGACCATAATTCTAGGCGCAGGCTATGCGTAGGCCTCGGCAGCCCAGCGTGTAGGCTACGCAGAAGCCCGCCATAGGCCGAGGCATAGCTTGCGCAAAGGCCTACCATAGACAGCGTGCCGACAAGCGGCATACATTAGGCCGACCATAGGCTAATGGCTTACCGATGGTAGGCCTACAGTGGACATTCGAAAGCCTACGCATGTGCTTGTTTAGCATTACTTCCGTTCGAATTTCAAATTCTAAAATGTCAAGAATTTCGACTCGACATTCCAAGTCTAAACCTACTTCACTTAAACTGCATCTGGCCCTTCCAATTAAACTCCACGTTTAACTGCATAGGCGTACCATGGGCCGATGCATAGCCATTTCATGTACCTACCACGGGCCTGTGCGCCGCCCATGGGTAGGCCTACCACCGGTCTGTCCTCAGCCTATGCGTAGGCTTCTAGGCGGCCGCGGGCCGACCACATGTGTATTGCAGGCTCACCAGATGCCTACAAGTAGCTTGTGCGTAAGCCGATGGACGGCCGCAGGCCTACCGTTGACCTATCACAGGCCTGTGCGTAGGCTATTCGCATGCCTACCACAAGCCTCGCGTAGGATTGTTATCGGCCTATGGCTGGACCATAGACGCCCTTTCATGGGCCCCGCAATCCTATGCATATCGCAGATCACTATGAGCTGAACGTCGGCTGACAGTTGAAGATTGGGATGTACACGAAACTCAAATTATGTTCCATATTTAGATACACGTATGGCTCTTACATGGTTATTGTTTCATCTGGCGACGAGTTTGCAAATTCGAGCATGTACTTGAAATTGGCAGATCTCCTAGCCGATTGTTCTCTGCGGTCCAGGAAGAATTCCTTGTCCAGTTGGCATAGAAGAAATAGTTCTTCAGTTTTGCATTTCAGAACAGCTACGGAATCAAGCCTGCCAACTTGAGAAGGTTCATACATTGAAGAGACACATTGCCGTGGTATTATAATCCCTCAACTTTTTGTAAACTGGCAGCGCTTGCCGCCGTTGCAGTTTGATTTTTTTACATAAGAGAATCGAAACCTCAGGGGATAATTGGCGCGAGCCCTGTGGATTCGAACGTCTGACGATTACAAATGCACTTGAAGTTTTCATACTGGATGTTCTCGCCGATCGTCCTCTGGGTCCCGGACTAATGTTTCCCATGTTCTTCATTGTTGTGTTGCGCAGCACTGATTCCGAAGGAATGCAGATGTGCAAGATGTTTAGTTTGAGTTGGAAGTCAAAACCATGCAATTGCGATGCAGTTGGCTTTTCTTGTTGTAGTTAATGTAATATTCCATGGTGCCATAAAAAGGAAGCAATGTGTAGATCTGCCACGCATTGATTTGTGTGTGCCAGTTCGAAAGATGTTTTTTTTGGGCTGTGGCCATGTGAAAACAAGAAAGTATCGCACCCACACATCACAATCCATTATTTGTCTTTGACCAGGTTACCTAGTATCACAATCATCTCCAATCGGGGGGGGCGGGTTCGAAGTGTTGGGTTCGACACAGCTGTTCCCTACCCAGGCTCTGCCTAGAAGGAAGGGTTCTTACTCCGTTTGCCTCAAAAGGGCCGGGCAGTGGGGCACGCCCCGGGCGGTTCCCCCGGCATCCGCCCCGCGGTTCCCCCAGTGACGTTCCCTTAGTTTCGCCTTGCTTATCTCATCTTAGCTTAGTTTATTTTATCTTACCTTAGCTTAGCTTCGTCTTACTTCAGTTCTATTTTAGCTTAGCTCACCTTCATCTTAGCTTCGCTGAGCTTTAGCATAGCTGAGCACAGCATAGCATAGCACATCGTAGCATAGCATAGCGCAGCATCGCATCTCATAGCATGTGTGTAATTCCCTACCTAGGCTCTGCTTAAAGGGCTAGCTTAGCTTAGCTTCGTTTAACTTAGCATAGCGCAGCGCTGCATTAACATACCATAGGATAGCATAACATAGCCAATCATAACATAGCATAGCGCAGCATAGCATAGCATGCTCAGCTTCATATTACCTCAGCTGTTTCGCTTAGCTTACCTTCATCTTAGCTTCGCTGAGCTTTAGCATAGCATAGCATGTACACGCACAGCACAACATCTCATAGCATAGCACAGCAGCAACGCAAAGCAAAGAAAAGCAAAAGCAAAAGCAAACGTAAAGCAAAGGCAAGGCAAAGCAAAAGCAATGTGCGACAGATGCCGAGATGGCCCTCGATGGCCGGACCCGAGCCCCCGCAAGCAGTGCCTTCCGCAACCATTCCGGCTCAAGTCCGGAGGCCCCTGCCGCACAGCCGCCCGCGCTTATGTCCCGAGGTTGGCGGAGTGAGGCGTTCAGCGGTGCTGCAGAGCCCGCCTCGGCACCAGGTGGTGCTGCGCAGCCCACCTGGCCTGTTGTGGCCATCGATGCGGGCGACGTCGCGTCCAAGCGGAACGACGATGAGCGGGTTAAAGGCAGCATGACGTACACGGCTGTCGAGGATGGCTTCTGGGCGTTCGTTGTGCTCTTTGCGGCTGAGTACGGTCTGCAAGACATGCAGTTCATCAGTCGCACGACGCGGGGCACGTGGTACTCGCGCCACGCCCGCCTGGGCAGGGTAGAGGCTTGGGTCGTCAGTCTGATCCGGAGCACAGGCTTGCTCGATATGGGGATCCGGGATGCCTGGCGCGAGCGTCCATTTGACGGCTCAGAAGAGCGGGGAGGACGGCAATGGCGTTGCTTCTCAGCGTTTGCAGTTGACCACATGATCGACAACGATCTTGAGTGTTTGTGGAGTGCCTTGAACGACGGAGTTGGCAACTCGGGCCTGTCGATCAGGCGGAGCAAGGGCCGCGTCATCCAGCGCGCGCGCACCCTCCCTGTGGATAGCTGGCGGCGGCTTGATGAAGACGACGACTGAGAGATGCAACTCGCGGTTCCAGGTTGCTGAGTATTTCCAGCGGGAGCAACTGGACATTTGGGATGAGTTGGTGAAGCTCGGGCCGCCGGCGATGCCCCGCCCCGCGTCGCGCGGAGGCAGGCCCCTGACGGCGGCGGAAGTGATCGATCTGCGTCAAAGCGGTGGTCGCCGCGAGCCTAGCCGCAGTCGCGGCCGCAGCCGCAGCCGCGGCCGCGATGACGACGACGACGCTGGTGAGCCGCGCCGAGTTGAGGCCAGGCGCCGCAGAAGCAGCGCTGCACAGCCTGCTGACGCATGGCAAATCCAGGCGTCCATGATTCAAAATGAAGAGCCGCAGTGGACTCACGCGCGACGGCCGCCCCTGCCCGCGACCCTGGACGTCGACGTGTCTGGCTGTCACTTCAGAGCTCTGTACCTTGGCCGCGGCTGATTCAAGGTTGCGTACCTGCTGGAAGCCCTGCATCCATTCTCGACGATGGCGACGATTGCCACCCATTCTCTGGCAAGGTCCTCAACCTCTGCAAGGAAGCGGACCCAGAGCCCGAGCTTTTTCAAAAAACGCGGGGACAGCGGCATTTACCCGCATATTCTCGCGGCAGCCCCTGTCGTTCAGCTCAACAGCGTTGCGCAACCTGTCTGTCAATGGAACGGCTGGATCATCATTGAGCTAGCCGTTCCATTGGACCAGGCGCTAAGGGGCGGTGCGTGCTCCAAGCAGTGCATTGTTGGAGCAGCGCGCTGCATGCTCCGAGCTTTCACACATGGGCATTGCATGGGTGACCCGCCCCTCTGCAACTTTGAAATGCTGGAGGGCGACGTCGTTATAGTCGACGCTGGATGCCCGCCTCGGACCGACAAGGAGATGGCGAAGTCACGATTCAACAAGAATGTGATGAGGATTCACAAGTTCTGGGCTTGTTTAGTGTTTTTTAGCACGTTTGATTTTTCATCCAAAATCGGCCTGAAGGGGGACGCGCCCGACCGAAGGCTCACCGCATCTCCCTGGCAGCGACTTCGGCGCGACAGGCCGTCGCACCGGCGAGATACTCTTGGAGGAGGTGCTTGCACGAGGGGCGGGGGGGGGGGGGAGAGGAGGGCAGGAGGGTGGCGTGCTCAAAGCCAGCCTCGAGCCACATGCGTCTAGGTCTAGATGGGGTCGGCGTAGATGGGGTCGGGGGATTTCGCCGCATCACCGATGCATCTGCGATGCGGCTCGATGTGGGGTCCGATCTTCTCCACGCCGACGTCGCCGATGCATCGCAGACGTCGCCAGTGCATGGCCGATGTATCGCCGATGTATTGGCGATGCTGGGAGATCCTCCGACCCCATCTACCCGGGCCCCATTCAGGATGACTTGAATGCTCTGAATGCCTCGAGCGTTCCGGCGCCTGGGCCATGTCCAGCATGGGCCCACTCTTGCACATGTTTGTTTCACTGCTTGGCTCGGACAGCCACGGCGCGCCCCGCAAATTCTTCTGGTCTTCTTTGGCACTTGGGCCATCCGCGATATGGCCTCATTTATATGAAGTCAGCTCGATGGTTTCTTGTTCTGCGAAGGCAAGCCCCGGGGCGCCCTAGCGGCAAGAGGGTGGGGCCGTGGCCACTCGGCCCGGTCAAGCACGCTGTGTGATTTATGGGCGAGCACACACAATCTCTTCACACATCAACATTGGCATCAGTGTTGCACTCCTCTGCCTCCGCCTCCCCCCCCCCTCTGTTTACCTCTCTCCCCCCCCCCTCCCCCTTGGCCCTGATGGCCACTGATGCCTGGCGACCGCCTCGCAGGAGCGGGCGGCCCACTGATCAGACGTGGGGGCGCACTCGCGTCGAATGAAAAACGTTCACAAGAGGGTTCCAACAGGCGAAAAAAACATTGATTCCCCGTTGGTTGTTCAATGTTTTTAGTTGTTTGTCCTAAACGGTTGGACCCCGCCCTCCCCAGTCGGCTTGGGTTTTCCTCTCTCTCTTTCTGCCCCTGCCTCTGCTTGCCCCTCTCTCTCGCTCTCTCCCGCTCAAGCCTTCGGGGCTCGAAGCCCTGGAGCCGACCACAGGAGGTCTGGGCGCCCCCTGGGCGCCCGGAAGTGCGCGTGCGATGGCCGCCTGGCGCCTGGCGCCGGCGGGCCCCGCACGCGGGCTGGTTGCGCTGGCTGCCGGCGCGACCGCCTACGACTGGCGCGGGCCGCTCAGCACCGCTGCGGCCCGCGTCGGGCGGGCCAGCCCGGCCGAGGCCCGCGAGGCCCTGCCCGGGCGCGCCGTGCCGTGCTACGATGACTCCGAGTACGGCGTGGAGACCGACGAGCTGGAGGAGGGAGGCGAGGCTGCTGGCAGCACCCAGGCGCCGCCCGACAGCGGGCCGCCGGGCGCGCCCCCCCCGCCGCCCACCCACGCCGCCGGAGGAGTCGACAACCTCAGCAACGCCACCGGCGACCTCCGTGATGGGGAGTCATGGATTGGCGGCTGGGGCGTCTGGGCGCTAGGATGGAGGCCTCTGGATGAAGGCACCTGGGCCTGGCGCCTGAGCGGCATGGGCGGGGGCGAAGCTGGACAGCCTCGGGAGCGCCTTCTCGACCCGCGCCGAGACGGGCTGGCTGACCAAGGATGGCGGCTGGTTCTTTTACGCCCTCGAGAAGCTGGGCTTGACGGTCTTCGGAGCCGCCTGGCCCGTCGCGGCGTGGACGTTCATCTTCCTGGCCTTCCTCGCGATGCTCGCTTTCCTCGCCCACATTTGCCGGGCGCTGTTGGCCCCCTGCGCCGCCGCCCTCTGGCTGATTGGTCTTCTGGCGCGGTGCTTCAAGTGCCGCCGGCGAGAGGCTGGCGATGCAGCTGCCGAAAGGTTCCTGCCGCCGGCTCCGCCTGCCCTTACTCAGATCCACTGGATGGGGCCAGAGACCGGACCTGCTACGACCACCGAATACTACAGCAAGAAGGTGAAGGGTCGTGGGACGGGGAGGAGGCCCAACGATGTCTTGGTCAAAATTGACGACCACGTCGCCCGTGTGAGGATCGACCTCGCGGAGCCCAAGCGGATCGACCGGACGGGCCTCCGGGTGGATTACCTGGGCGTGAAGGGGGCCAGTTCACGCGCGCTCCGCCAGAAGCTGGAGATGCTCGAGGGCCGCTCGATCACTTGTGCCGCAACATGGCCTGTCGTGATCGGCCTGGGGAGATTCGCTGCAAAGAATACGCAGCTCTGGACTCCGAGGCGATCGTGGACATCGGATCCCGTGCAAGTTCACCTCTTGCCGCGGCATCTTCCTATTCTGGCGAGCTTTCACGGATCTCGGGCGCGGCACGTGGCGGATCATTGTGTTCACGTATTGCATCTTGTCCTGCGGTTGCTCTTTCTGCTGCCGGCGACGCCGCCGTCGTAAGACAGGCGCTGCGGAGCCAGGCGTTGCAGGAAGTGTCGCAGAAGTCCTCGATCAGGAATCCGAGTCAGAGGTGGAGGCTGAGGACAAGCCATGTGAGGCAGTTCGGGTGGACAATGTACTACGTGGAGGAGCTCGCCCCTTGGCCCCCGACGGCTGCCGTGACGCCGCAGAGGCTGAGCCAACCACTTTGCTCATGGAGGACGGACAGGCTTCCGATCTCCCGCCGCCCAGCGACGGGAGGAACTCCTTCGCCCATCTTTGCGCCCATCATTCGCAGGTCTACCGGGCCTCGCGGTATCGCGACAAATGCTCCCAGGTGACCTGCTACCGCCAGGCGGTCGGCAACGCCGAGGGCGCACCCCTTTTGTCTCCTTCATCTGGGCGGAGAAGCGGGCAGAGCTGCGCAGGCCACTGCTACCGCCCCGAACCGCGGGCTCTTCTCAGGCTTGAGGCGTCGGGTGGTCCGCAGCCGCAGCCATCGGGCGCGCGAGTCGGGAGCCCCTGCAGCAGTAGTCCCCCCAGCAGATGGAGCTCGAGGACCTGAAGGTCATCGGGGGCAGGCATCATCAGGCCCGCCCCCTCGGGACGCGCCGCCTACACCACGGGCTCCGCCTGCCAGCGTTCGATTCGAGGCTTCACTTTCACCAAGGGCGCCCCTGCCGCGGAGTGCCAGCCCCGCCCCCAGCGAAGAGATCGACCAGAGCGACCACCTGGCACTAGGAGTTCGGGTACAGTGGGCAGCCGGCCCGCAGTGGATCGTGTTCTTGGGCAGGTCAAGACCCGGAGAGGGGCCGCTGGGGGACGGCAGCCTGACCGCGGTAGACGTCGAGGAGCCGAGCAGCAAGGGCCACTCCCCGGGAGACCTCGAGCAGATCTGCTTCACTCTCAAGACCGCGGGGATCGAGCGCGCCCCCGCCACCCGCGACCAGGGCGAGCTCCCCACCGGCTACCTTGAGGAGCTCTTGCACCATCCGCCGCTCGGGGCGGAAGAGCTGGGGATCAGCGTGCACGGCGCCGTGGTGAGCAAGTTCGCGTGGGAGAAGCTGCACCCCTGGAACGGAGTTCCCGCGGGCAGGAATGCCAAGAGGATCAGCCGCCCCCAGTGGGCCCACCTCCGAGCCCGAGGCGACCAATTTGTGCGTCAGCACCCGTCTGGCGCATCAGGCGACACCAGCAGTGCACCGCGCCCCGTCCCTGACGGGATGGACGCGCAGCTCAAGAAGCACTGGGCGAGGCTCGACCGCAGCAGCTCCCCCAAGCCACCCGTCGGCGTTTGGTGGGGCCTGGGCGAGGAACGCGATCAGGCCCCCCCCGCCCCGCGCCGCTCCTCTCGCAGCCCTGGGAAGGCCCCCGAAGATGAGAACACCGGGGAGGCCATGCTGGGTTTGTATCTCGCAGCTCATGAAGGAGGGTCAGATGACGCTTCCGCGCTGCAGAGCGTTGCGGCCGGGTACGACGAGGACATCACCGTCGTCCTGGAGCATCTCATCAAGTGCACTCAGCGCCTCATGCGCAACAGCGGAGCCGATGAGCAAGCCAAGTATCAGACACATGTTAACCGATGGGAAAGGATGCTGGAGCGCGTTCGGGTCGAGAGGGGCGAGAGCGTGATCCCGCCGCTCGCCAGCGGCCTCCTGAAGCTCGACGCCGAGCGCCGCCCCGACGACAGCCAGGAGCCCAGCCAACCCGTGGCCCCCCCCGGGCTAGACCCAGCAGCGAGTGCCCCGCCCCTACCGCCGCCGGCCACCCCGCCTGGCGTGCGAGTACCTGGGGCCTCGCGCCTTACCCCATCCAGGCCTGATGCCCGGCCTTGTCCCGAACCTCGGGCAGATGTTCACCAACAGAGGTGCCTACGGACAGGGGGGACTGGTCAAGCCCCCAGGGCAGCCTGATCGGAGGTACGCTGCAGGGGCTGGAGAGAGCGACCCCTCGGCCGCCATCACCACCTACGCGCAGGTTCTTCAGAATGGCCAAGAGCAGCATCACCTGGACAACATGCGGTTGCTGCAGGCGGTGGACAGCCCGCGCAGGTCCGGCGAGGAGGAGAAGGTGGCGCAGCGGGGGACTCTCGGCGCCATCGGGCGAGCCGAGGAGCTGGATGTATACCTGGCCCGAGGCTGCGACACCCTCGACGTGGAGGTCTGCGGCACACTGACCCGGCGGGAGCTGTTCCACGGACTCAAGCGCGCCTGCGAGCATGCCAAGCACGTGATGCAGGCGGTGAACTGGCCCACCACGGTGACAAACAGGATGGCATACGGCATCGCCGCCTTCTGCTGGGGAGGTCGGGGCCACAAAGACCTGGCCGAGTGGTCGGTCTCCGTAGCGGACTTCCCCCACTGCAAAGCGGAGGTGTTCGACGCCTACAACATGCCCACTTCGTGCAAGCTCGAGCCACGCCCCCGGCACCCGGTCGTCTTCTCCCAGTGGGTAAGGCAAGCCGAGAACGCCATCGCCGTCTTCGGTCTGGTCTACGGGCGCATGCACGAGCCGGAAAGACGTCGGTCCCTGGAGACCCTGCGCCTGGCTACGAGGAGGACGACGTGGCCTTCCCCGCGGACTACGCGTGCAGCCTCTGGGAGGAGCTCGCCGCGACCTGGTGCGAGCAGCTTCGGGAGAAGCGGAGGGAGGCATGTCGCATCCTGGGCCTCGCCAATCCGCGCAGGGAGGACATCAAGACCGTCGCCCTCGCCCCGACGGGACCGACAGGGAGCGCTTGGTTGACATTCCCGAATGTGTACGACCTCGACGCGCCGGACGGCTACTACCAAGTGGCATGTGTCCCTCGCCAGGCCCGGCGGCCCCAGAGGTTTCTGCATCAGAACCTGCACGCTGGGCCACCGAAGACCCCCAAGGCCGGGAAGGCCGACGAGCAAGTCTCAGCCGACCAGGAAGTACCCATGGGGTCTGGATTGGGCACTAGGAAGGCGGGGGCCGCCGTCAAGAAGGCTGCGTCCAAGAAGCGGCCCGCCGCACGGGCATACCCATCGGGCAAGGCGCTGACCTCCAGCGAGATCGGAAGATCCTTCAAGCACGCCCCCCGCGACAAGAATGGGAAGGTCATCTGCTGGGACGCTTGTACTTGGGCCGGCTGCCCCAAGGCTGCGGGAACCTGCGCCCACTCGCATGAGGCCATCAAAGGGCTCGGCAGCCTCGACTGGACGGTGCAGGCGCAGCTCATCAGGCGCGGCGGCCTAAAGGTCTGGGGCGAAGGTCGATCCCACCTCGGTCGACGGGCGGGTGGCGCAGCTCCGAGCCCAGGCCGAGGCCGAGGCGGGCAGCAAGAGAGCTGGCGGGAGCGCCGGAGAGGCGTCCGGGGCAGCCTCAGGAGGCAGCCGGGCGGGAGGCCCGCCGGCTGCCTGGGCCCCCCCCGCCGCTTTCGACGACATCCAGACCATTGCCCTCGAGGAGGAGCTCAGACAAGCGGTTCAGGGCCCCGGGGAGGATTGGCTGCTAGACGCGCGCGCCCAGGAGCCAGCGGTGGAGGGCACCGGCGAGACGATGCACCCTGCCGCC